AATAAGACACAGCAACTATGTATTTCTATGCATGATGCGTTTACAAATGTTGCGCTGATGGATGTGTGCGTACTCACTGGAGTTAAGAGTCTGTCGTGTCTTGGCACTGGTACAATAAGCTTCAATGACTTTGAGTATCTGAGCATCCTCCTCTAGAGCTGCTGTACCTGAGAGACAAGGGCAGACCAGGGAACTGAGCTGATGAGACTGCACCTACACGCCCTCTGGTGGACATTTCTTCACTGTATAGCTTTCTAAAAGATTCAATAAAGGCTGACTCCAACATCAACCACATATCAAAGTTAAAGTGATCACCAAAGAAAATCTACACAGTTTGGATTTCAGCAGAGGTGAGGACTATGCATTGTTTTTATTAAAAACTGGGTTTCTGCTAATGAAATGAATATGCTGGTTTACTGTCTTAGAGAGAACTCCTTCCATTCATAAAATCTGATAGAAATGTACTTAATGGGCTGTCACAATGGACGAGTTACTTTCTTGAGTCTAAGACGCTTCAAAAACTAGTCCAGTTTTATTCAGTGTTACACTGCTGTCCAGCTGAAAGTTTAGCAAAATGCACCTTTTTCACGAGTTGTGACTCTGACAGATTAAAGTTTATAGTACTTAAACATTATCTAATAGAAGCAACTGAAGAAATTAAGATTCACTACTAATAATATTATTAGTTATGTTGCTATGAAGTAATAGAAGTCCCCATGGCAACATTTTATAATTGAAAGTTCAAGTTTCTGTTCTTACTTTTTCTGACAGTGAAGTCCTCTTCTGAGGGTTTCCTCTCTGGCTTCCTCTTCGGGAGGAGCTTCTTCACATTCTTAGGACTCTTACTCATGTCCTTCAAAAAAAGATAAAAAATAAAATTCAGATTTCACTTTTTCAGTCAAGTCTTGGATTATATCACGCAATACAACAGAAGTGAATGAATTTAGAAAAATGTTTGCAAAAAAAGGACATACACACCAAAAGCAATATCTATTCTGTAATAAACTATAAAATCGAGCACCTCCTTGTAGCAGAGAGCAGCAGAGGGCCGGAGTGGAGGAGCAGGGCGAAGGCAGCTTAAGCTCCAGGGTTTGGGGGTACTCGGTGGCTCCAGGGGTCCCCACATAGGGCTGCTGATTCCCATCCCATGCAAGGAGACATGGGGAAGGGTGTGGTAAGTGTTCACACTGCTCCCTCCACGAGACTCCGAGTTTCTAGAGGGAGTGACAGGGTGAGAGGGCAGCTGGGAGGAGGTGGGTGAAGTGGAAAAAGAGGAGGAATCAGAGGAGAGGAAATTAGAGGGAAATGACGTGGATGAGCTGTAATTCATTTATTTTGTAGAAAATGTGCCGACTTACTGTGTGACAGACAGACAGAGTCTTGTGTGTGGATGCAGCCGGAGCATGGGTGTGTTTAGTGAGAAGGTCCAGCCATTCCTGCAGATCGTGCTGACTGTTACATGCTACCTGGATGCGCTCACCCTGGCTGCCTGCACAATGACCCACACAAAGTGGAAGATGTTAATATTGCAGACAAGCACACACATCATACAAATACAAAAGAAACCTGACCTTCCTCTCCCCAGTCATTCTTATATTTTCCAAATTATGCTGAATGTGCTACTTGTGTTTTGTACGACAGCCCTTACTTTTTATCCATAAGCAAAACTGACTATTTTTTACTATATACAGATCAGTTCAAGTCAAGGCTTTGTGCAGGCCAGTCCGTAACATTCACTTTGGGCTTCTGGCGGGAGGCGTGTTGGATGACAAAGCGAAGAACCAGACCCAGTTTTGCTTTCTTGAGGGTTTCTTTCAGAATCTTCACAAAGCCGTTGTTCTTCATGATTTTTTCCATATTGACGAGATTCTCAGCTGCAGATGCACTGAAGCATTCTCACAGCATAATACTCCCACCACTGTTTGGCCTTTGGGTTGCACACCTCTTCCTGCTTTCTCCAAACATAAGCAACGTCTCTGCCCTAGAGCCCTAGTTTTGTCTCATCTGACCAAAGGACGCAGTTCCAGTGTGAACGACTGTGTGACGACTTCTCCAGGTCGTCTTTAGCATACTTCAGTCTAGCTTGAAGCTGTCTTTTCTGTAGAAGTGTTTTTTTCTTGGACTGCAAACTTGCAGCCAACTCCTGTGCAGGATTCTAACAATTACAATACCAGAATTGGCTGAGTCATTCACGGGTGTCCTGATAGTTGTTCTGGATAGATCTGCCGGTTTCTTCCTGTTAAAAGGGAGTTTTTCCTTCCCACTGTCGCCAAAGTGCTTGCTCATAGGGGGTCATATGATTGTTGGGTTTTTCTCTGTATCTATGAAGCGCCTTGAGGCGTCTTTTGTTGTGATTTGGCGCTATATAAATAAAATTTAATTGAATTGAATTAGATCTCTCAGTAGTTTTATTTCCATAGTCTTTGGAATAATATTGTTTTACAGAAAAGCAGAAGTGTAATTAAAACATAATAAAAAAAATTCTGAATTTTCTGAATTTTTAAAAATATTTTGTGAAAATAGTTTGTATACATGTTAAATTTTTAAATATGTCCTCAAAAAAGCAAATTATACTTGAGGGTTAAACTGCAACAGTAATCACTTCATGCTTTTCAGCATGTCCTGCAAGGAGTGTATCTTCTGGGTTCTTATTATTAATGAATTTATGCAAAAACAATCCTTGAATCTCAGAGTTTTGGCGAAAATGCCCGGACTCCCAGTGTTCCCGCCTAATGTAAATGTGAGATCATCAGGAGCAAACTGTCTGTGAAACCCCATATTTGAAACAGGCCATAAGTGTAAAGATGCTGAAATCAAGTGAGATTCTATAAAAGAGCTAAGCAGAAATGTCTTGTAGTAAATGAAGAAAGCGGCTGACCAGATATTTCAAAAGCATTCTTCAAGTTTTCTCCATCCTCTATCCTGGAAATAAGCATTCCTGATAATGGTATCCGCCCCTGCAGACCAACCAGAAACAGTGTTCATCAGTGCACCAGATAAGCTAGTAATGTTTGACACCTTAAAGAAATACATCCATGTTAGTGACAGGAACATTACTGTGGAAATTACAGCGATCAAATCAAGTGTGCCATACCTGATAGATGAATCCACTCATTCTCAGGCTGGCAGAGACCATGAGCAGAGTGTGATGGAAGAGAAGGAGGTAGCATTCATTTGACTCCTGAAAAATAGGATGTTTTATTGGATTATTGCAGGGTTTACCTTGCACTATAAAAGTGCCAAGTGCTGTATAAATAAAATTGAATTGAACTGTGAACTGAACGGTGTTCATTGTGGGAGTGAATATAAATTTCTGGTACATTCACACGGCACAGTTTGTTTAAACGCTAAGTTTAACAAGTATGCTCAGGTTTTTCTGGCTGATCAGAAGCTGGCCTGTGAGTATGCCTTTCATTTCAGAAAGACAACAACAGGTTCTGTGTGTTGTTAAGCCTCTTGCAGGTCGTGATAAGTACCGGACAGTTCTGTGAGTGAACTGCGGCCTGGGACATGTGAAGGACAGGGCCAAGAGTTCGGATATCATCTCCTTCCCAGTTTCTGATCGGCTCTGTTAAAATCTGCAACACCAGTTCCTTCTTCTTCCTGATTTCCTTACACTGAGCCTGAGGACACAGAAACACAGAACAGGCATTCAAAAGCTCCGTGACATCATTTCTGATTGATACAGTGAAACAGAGGTTAAATGTACAAAAAACAGGTCATAAAATTACACTCAAACTCAAAAAATGTAACATAAGACACCATTAGTCGCCTCTTATGGATTACTTTCTGAAGGTTGAGTAGTTTGATACACTTTGTACCCCTCATTTCTGGACTACATTAGCATGCACATTACGTTTGACTAGCTTAATGTTTAAGGACTGATAAGCATGTGTCTTACAGAGAGGTTTTTAAAGGCTGTCATAGAAGCCTGTAGATCAGCTCTGTCAGGGTGTTGGTCCTAAAAGACACAGACAAGATTCAAGATTTAAGCACATGAAAACAAATAACCCTTTTCCCTCTTGTCAACATTCTCTGCCCCAGTTATCATCATTCGATAAAATGATTCAATTAAATTTTGCAGGACTTGAGTATACTAGCAGAGATGCAGAAAGACAGGGAGCGATTCAAGCTTACTTCCATATGTCTGTCCAGTTCTTTCAGCAGGGTTGGGTATCTATCCAGTCTTATGAAGGGTTTACTTAGGCTAGTGGTCAGTGCCAAGATCCCAGGAGGGGGTGCTCCTTTTGACTCCATGTACTCTTTCAGCTCCTCACTGTGATACACA